CATTTTGTTATAAGCAATGTTTTCCATGCATTAGCTCATCTAATTTTCACAACAATCCTATAGCATGAGTACTTTTATCTTCATTTTTTTTACAAAAATGAAAGCCAATGAGTAGTTTGGTTTTTTCCAAGGTATGAAGTGGCATGATGAGGGTTCAAAGTAATCACTCACCTCCTGTTTGATCCTGCTAAAAACCCAAAAGTTTTTAGCAGTATAGTATCATTTTCATATTAAAATTTTAATAACTAATAATTACTATTTATACCCTACCTGATACTGATAAATTTTACTTGATCTTCACTACAACCCGTTATGCAAGTTTGGTTTTGTTTGTTTTGTTTTGCTTTGTTTTACCATTTAATGTGAAAAACTTGGTCAAAGTCTGTTAGAAGCAAAGCTAATTTCAGAGCCCACACTTACAACCATTGTTAAATACTTTGAAGGTGTCCATGATATATATCTTAGGAACATCTTGAGAAAAGTAGTTTTCTTCCCAAGATAAAGTCATCTATCATGCATAATTTCTTGAGAATTTATTACAAACATGAAATGAAATAAAATCCAATATGGAAAGGTTTTATCTCCTCTAAAGTCTACATTTTTATAGAACACTTGGGGTAGCCTATAACAGATTCCCATAATGTATACATCTTATTGTGCCTTATTCCTGAATGGTCTCCACTTTAACCATCATTACCTGGCTCATAAAAAAGCTAATATAATTTTTTAAGAAAGCCTGAAAAATCGCACCTGCATATACTAACTCCTCTGCTGCCTTTGCTTTGGACTTCCTATCTTCTGTTATTAGAGCTAAATTCTGCACTTGAATTGATTTCTCCAAAACCTAATTTAAGTCACAGTTTTTTGAATGAGTCAATCCAAACCCCAGGTTTCTCCTCCTTGCTGTTCACACTTTGTTGCAACGTCCTAGAACACTAAACATTATAGCAATCATTTAATAAATATTGACCAATGAATTTAATAGGTTTTTTAAATGTATTGACAAATGTCCTGTTTCTATCTTTCCCCAGTATTTCTAATCAATTGAAATAAAATTCATTGAGATATTTCCAATTATCACCCAACATGATTCTGCAACTTGTTATCCCAAACACATGGAAGATTTTCTCTGTTCTTCTTGGGTCTCTCTAATGTATCTTAATTTAAATTTATGCTTCCAGACCAGTACTAGAGTCTCATATACTCTAGAAATAACCAATATTTATGGATGTGAGAAATGTAAGGAGTGCCTATTATCCTTTGGGTACAGACAGTACTTCATCTCTTCTATTGCCTGTTCTTCAATGGAAATAAGTGGGGTATGAGTCCATTACAGATAGAATTCATATTACACACAAAGTTCCTGGTAAAGTCCTCTATAAGTAACTATTCTGCAGTATCATGACATGACCCACATTGACTATATTACTGTTGAGAATCCTCCAAAATCATATTAGGATCTAATCTAAGGCAATGATCATGGCTGCACTAGGTGAAGTACTAAGAAAATAAAAGAACTATAGCCACTTATCACAGTATGGTGACTGGAAGATATAAAGAGATTTGGTTCAGGAAGTAAGTTCTTGAAGAATATAAGGATGCTCCACAAATAATATAGTTGGTTATGACAACTAAATATAGTCTGAGAGCTTCTTTTTCCTTATTGTCAATAGAATAAAGCATCACAATATAAAAACAAACAGTTCAAGTGAATTTAGGCAACCACATTTTGAAGTGTGTGAATAGACCTGAAAATATTCTTTAAGCCCTGTGTACTTCAACTCAAGAGTCATTGGAAGATTTATATATTTGTTTATTAATAAAATACTAAAAAAACATGCTTACTATATGTCATGCAACTTCTAAATGCTCTTCAAATGTTATTTAATCCTCATTAAAGCTGTGTGAAGGACATAATATTATCATTCCCATTTAACAGATATAGACACTGAGGTGCAGAGAAGTTTATAAACATGCTCAATGAGCATGGTGGTGCACACCTATAATCCCAGTGGCTTGGGAGCCTGAGGTAGGAGGACAGCAAGTTTGAGGTCAGCCTCAGCAACTTAGCAAGGCCTGAAGCAATTTAGCAAGACTGTCCCAAAATAAAAAAGAACCTGGGATGTGGCTCAGTGGTTGAGTGGCCTTGTATTCAATCCACAGTTTCCCCCGCACACTCTGCAGCAAGAAAAAGATAAAACATGCTCAAGGACATGCAACCAGGAAATCTTGTAGTATATTTCAAACCAGGCTTAAGGTATCAGAGTCTAATACTTTGCCACGGTACAATGTTCCCCTCTGTTATGCATGCTTCTTCCTACTTAAAATGACACTATTGTTTTTATAATTATCAAGTGTTAGTTTCACAACAATAATGGACACTTGGAATACCATGAGAGACAAGGCAAATGGGCTCTTCATCTTTAAGAATCTTATGTGGTAGGAAATACAAGCCATTTGAGAAACATATAAAGTTTATGATAGGGGTAGAACAAGGTACGCAGGGCCCAGAAGAGGGATGTCTCACCAAGATTAAAGCTAGTATGGAAGGCTTTCTAAAGGAAGTCCAGTTTCAAAGGAAATCCAAAAATTGGATAAATAAAGTTGGCAAGGAAAGGAGGAGTTATGTTCCAGAAAATGGAGGCAAAAAAAAATTTAATGGAAATATTCAGTCTGGCTAGATTATAGACTGTGTGGTAGAAATGGAGGAAAATAAGACTGGTCAGGCAGAAAGGAACAAGATAATGTAGTTGTTTTTAGTCCTTGTGAAAAAATATAGATTTTTTTTTTAATCCTTGCAGCAGTGGGGTGAAAAAAATAATGTAAAGAGTAACAAAATCAGGCTTGCAATTTTAAAAGATCATTTGAATGCATTTAGCAGATTAAAATTACAACTCTCTTGAAAACTAGGACTAATGTCCTGACCATTAATGCAGAGGCCAATGAAACTGGACAGAGAGACTCAGGCACTGACCAAACCATGCTGGACAACATTGAAAGAGGATGGGAAGGGGACTGGGGATATAGCTTAATTGTAGAGTGCTTGCCTTGTATGCACAAGGCCCTGGGTTCAAGCCCTAGCACTAAAAAAAAAGGAGGGTGGGAGGATCTCACATTTCACTGACTGTCCCTGGTTGCACAGCAGGGCAGTGGTACTGGTGGAGCCCTAAAATATGGCTGCCATCATTTGCAGCAAACAGAAAATCTTCTGCTCCATTCCCTGACCATAATGAGCACCTCTCTGCCTACAATGAAGAAAGGAATACACCTGGAAGTAGAGAGGAGGCTAAACAAATGTCCAGGCTATATCCTGGGAGGTAAACCTCCACTAGTAAAGAACTGAAGTTTGTGAGTCAAGAGAATCACTAAAACCTGTTTTTAAGCTCTTTAGATGTTCATCAATTTAGAAAAGTAGGCAGACGATACAAAAACCTCTTGGTCAATCTAAGTCACACTTTGATACAGTACTACTATAGATTAAAATGATATAAAATATTTTTAAAGTGAGATACACACTGATGTGAAAGGAAATTTAAAATACATAATTAAAGTACAAGGCTTTAAGCAGAAATATTAAAGATACAGAACACATTGATTAGAACAAAACAAATGCTATGGATAACAATAAAGCACAATAGAGAAACAGTTTGGGGTAGGTAGTTATGCATGAGTGGTAAAGGTAGGTCTTCTTAAAAAATTAACAATTTAAGAAGCTGGTGAGTCTAATTCCCCCACATGATTTGGTATCCCCTCAAAAGTGCATCTGGGGGCTGGGGTTGTGGATCAATGATACAGTATTCACCTAGCCCACAGGAGCACAAATAAAATAAAATAAAATAAAATAAAGGTAGTGTGGTCACCTACAACTAAAATATATATAAAGTCCATCTGATAGATAATGCAAGAACGGTCAGAGGTGAAATGATTGTATTATGAGGGCTATTACCTAATTAGTGGATTAATCCATTTGATGGATTAATAATTTGAATAGATTACTAGGTGGTAACTATAGGCAAGTGGGGTATAGCTAGAGGAGGTAGGTCACTGGAAATGAGACCTTAGGGATTATATTTTGTGTGTGTGTGTGTGTATGTGTGTGTGTGTCTCTTTATTTCTGGCTACCGTATGTTGAGTACCTTTCTTCCAGCATTCCCATCAACTGTGATATTCTGCCTTACTGCAGGCCAGATCAATGGAGTTGGCAGTCCATAGACTGAGACCTCTGCAACCATGATCCCCAAATAAGCTTTTCTTCCTCTAAGTTTTTCTGGTCAGGTATTTTGGTCACAGTGCACAAAATCAACTAACACACCCAAACTGCCCTTCAATGAAAGGTTGAAAGTGGTTATTTCTTTTTTTTTTTTTCTAATAGACAATTTCTGAGTGACGGTTGAGGGCTTTAATGTGTTCTTTCACTTTCCACAAAGAACATATAGTATATTTTCAATCAGGGAAAAGGGATTTTTTTTTGTTAAAAGAAAAAAAAAGTAACCTACAAGATTGACTGTAAAATTAGAAGTTCTACACCAGGCACAGATTGCTTTATAGGCAAGTTTTGCCAGCATTTTACAAAAGAAAATCATCTTAACCATATACAGACTTCCAGACAATAGGGTGGGGAGGGAATGTTTTTCTACTTGTTCTCTGAAATCAGTAGATTTTCATTTCAAAATTAGAAAAAGAATTTATAACATGATAAGCCCATTTATTCATGAATACAGATGTAAAAATCCTAACTAAAATATTAGCAAACCAAAACAGTCTATAAAAAGATAATGTAGCTTAACCATGAGTAGATACCAGGAATCCAAAGAAGATTGGATCATTAAAAATCTGTAAGTGTAATTCACCATCATAACAGATTAACGGAGACAAACATATGATAATCATAGTTAATGCAGAATAATGAAAGGAAAGGGAGCAATGTACAGGCTTTGCTGGCTCCAGAATGCTTATATGTGAGGACAGTCAGGGACAAATCATGCCACTGCACTACCCACCTCTCAGCACTCTGTACCATCTAGTCATCTTTCTGGTCCAGTGGGATTCTGCTGGAAATAAATAGGAAATAGGCAAAAATAAGTTTAAAAGTAAATCTATATTAATCTACTTTTCAAAATCTAGTACTTAATACTTGTCAGTTTTCAAATCCCAAACTGTCTCTAGCCCAATGAAATATTTTTCTGCATGCTCCAAGAAGCAGTATACTTGTTGTTTTATGTTTCTTCAATTCATAAATTAAGTCAACTACATTGATTATTCACAAGTGTATAAATATAATATAAATGTAGTGTGTAACATTGATATTATACATTATAGACTTAGCAATGTGTTTTATTTATAAACTACAGACTAGGTCATTTCTTCCCCAAACTCAAACACAGAAATAAAAGTAACTCCAGACATTAGTTCTTACTTAAATTATGAGTTTGACATGCTTGAAAATTCTTTCCTTGGAAGTAAGGATACAGATGTGGGAGAAGAAAAAAGATTTACTAATAAAACCAGAAATGCATTACTATCAACAGGAGTTTCTCATTTTATTCATACAAGTGAGTAAAGATGATATGTCCATATAGCAGGAGGGAAATGTGATCTGTGGTAAAAGAGAGAAGGATATATACCATATTTTCAAAAGGGATAATCTTTGGAAAGAATTTATAAAATGCTGTCATCTCAATGGTAGTAATAATAACAGCAGCAAGTAATATCTAACATCAAAAAGTGGAAATGAGGAAGGGAAAACCACCCCAGCACTAAATGGACTTTTCCAAAGAATGACATGAATCCTTGTGTGGCTGCCATCAAAGCAGGTGCCAGTTCATAGAAGAAAGAAGAAGAGGCTGAAAGGTAGGTTGGGGCCACCAGGTTTTCCATGCTGAGGATATTTTACTATATTCTAATCCAAATCCATGTCAGTTTATAGGAAAGCATGCAAATTCTTGAGGTCATTTTTTAGTACCTTGAATAAATATGTTTTTATATGTTGTGCATCCCATTCTGTCCAACCATAGCTCTTAAAAGTCAGTTTCATACCTAAAGTCAGAATTTCCAACACAGCTCATCATTGGATCAGGAAATATCCTGATGTAAGTCTGCCTCTATCACTAATTATTATCACTAATTATTATTCAACAGAATAAGTTGAACTTTAAATAATATTCCCTTAAAATGATACGACCTTAAATTTCCATATTCACAACTGTTTCAAACTCATTATTGGTTTTTGAACTTGTTCATATTTTCCTCTTAACATTTAATATTCTCTTTTCTCAAATTGTCCAAAATCAAAAGATGAACATCTAAAAGGGAATGAGATCCTGCTGGCCCTCTCAACAGAAAAGTTCTAGTTTTTCATGAGCCACTGGTTGCTCATCTGTGTGCATAATAAAATAAAAATGGTTTCATGCCAACTTTTAAATTCTTTCAACACAATGCAGCTTCTTTTTCACAATGCTTGGGTTTGTTGCATATAGCACTTATAGGTGGTGAGAATCAGGAAGAAAATGGATCAGGAATCAAAATATCCTGATGTAAGTCTGCCTCTATCACTACATTATCACAGTGATTTGGGGAAACTTAACTTACTAACTAGAAGCAAATCAGTAAAATGAGATCATGACAATATTTGATTTGTGAACCCCATAGTGTTTAAATGAAGATCAGCAAACGATGTATATCAAAGTACTCTGTAACATGCATGGTGGTATTATTATTATTATTATTATTATTATTATTATTATTATTATTATTACAAATACATTACCCCTCAACTGTAATGGGTATTCTTGGAAAGAACATGCACTTTGAGCTATTCATCTGGGGATGGTGTTGGGTCAATCAGTCACCCACATTATTTGCTTTCCTTTGTGATTGGTCAGCATTAGAAGTATAGTCCTTGGTATGTACTGGGCTTCTTGAGAAGTCTCTTAGCCTAGAGGGAATCTACTGCACTTATGGATCAGCATAACAATCCCCTGACTTTGACCCCCTCAAGGACCATCTGGTACTGGTACAGAACCTCAGGCTATCTGAATCTTAAGGGTAGATTCTAATGAGTTTTTATTATTGAATTAGGTAAAGTAAGATATTAGATTTCACATTTATATAGTAGAAATCAGTTTTCAACAACTATAATATCTCATGTAAATCTCAAAATAACTTTGACATCATCCTATTATAATTCTCTTTATAAAAGTCCCCAAACTGAGGCTAAAATGAAATATGTGACTTGCCAAAAGTCACACAGCATATAAGTAGGAGGGCTAAGAACAGGCCCAGGTAATTTGGATTGCGGGGCTCTATTTCAATATTTAGAAACTCCCAGTGCTCCCTGAGAAAAAGGAAAGACACTAAAGGAAGGGGGAAAAAAGAAAAGAAACCATATGAGTTTTGGTAAAACTATGGATTGGAGTAAAGATTTTGATCTTTTAACAATCACATTATCTCAGCAGCTTCCAGAGGGGCCATATGCCTCAAAATACAAGGCATCCAGGAAGGAAATGCTTTATTCCTTCCACAGAGAAAAATAACAATAAGTGTCCAAGATGGAAGAGGGACCTTGTTGGCATATTACAATGCCAAAGCTCCACAGCTTTCCTGGTCATCGGAAATCTAAGGCCACTGAAAATAACTGGGCAATGGCCCTCTGGTTATGATCACTCTTGATTCTACAGAAATATCTGCAATAGGTTGGTCCTACTGCAAAAAGGTAAAGCATTTGTCCTGTTATTTCTATGTGTTTTTACTAAAGAAATGTGAACTCACAGACATGAATAATTTCCCTAAAGTGACTCTTCACAAGAGGCACACCCAAAATTCAAATCCAAACTTTCAAATTCTAAAGTCATTGATCTTTCAAATTCTAAAGATCTTTCTGTGACTATTTCCATCCCTGAGTGCCAACATATTTAGCCCCAAACTCCTACAATCTATTCCAATGGTTCCTTCTTCACTTGATCTTCTTGTTTCTCATGTCAATAGCAAACACAAAGGAAACAATCTTTGTAGTGCTAAAATACACTATTCTTTTAAAAAATGTTTAAAACAAAACATAAGAGTTGTACATATTCATGGGGTAGAGTGGAATAATTCAGTATACATATACAATGTATAATGATCCTGTCAGTTATACAATCCATTTTTAGTTCAGCTGATTCTTTCATTTTTAGCTATTATAATGTATGACTCCTCGATTGTGCTTTGAGATAATTTTATGCCAAAGGTTTGCTTTTATAAAGTGAAAACAAGTTAATACCTATTTAAGTTGGGGTTTTTGATAAAATACAATACTAAGGGGCAATTATAAGTCTTATGAGAAAAGAAGTAACAGCTGAGGTCATTGATATCTCATTTGGTAGAAGGTAAGAACCTGGAAAGTATAAAAACTATTGGGTATTACCTTTTGTATGTTCCTGCTTTGCAAAACCTAAATAATTAAATGAGTTTATTGATTTTTATTGAATTCTTTAGATTTGTAAATTTCTTTTGGTTGACTTTGGTATTGTTCTGTTTTATTGAGGTGAGAATAAGTGGTTTAGCATGAGCTATATATCCTGAATGAGAAAGGAATGAAGAGGTATTTATATTATGTATAAATAGATACTTAGATTATGTCTATATCTTCTCTTAAGCAAAACTGCTTTGTAATTTGAGGTCTTTAAAATGGAAGGGCCTTCATAAGGACACTTCATCCCCAAGAGCTATTCAGATAGAGGATAGAGAGATGATCACTAGGTTATTCTAAAGGGGATTTAAGAATCTGATGGAGGATGAAGGTCCCTTTCCAGTCTGACATTCCATAAGATTCTGTGAAATAAGTAGAATTTCAATTTGTAAAAGTGTGCCTCATACAATTTTTCTAACATCATTAAATAAATTGTCTATCTTTAGACAAACTGTTTGATTTAAAATAACCATACTGAGGACCTCACAGCTGTAGCTGCATATGGGACCAAGTCAGGATGCGGAGTAGTTGTGAATTATAGGCTTATTATATTTCAAGAGGATCAATTTGATCCTAGGCTGTATCCATGTACAGTATTCTATAAAGCATCGTATTTAGAAACACTGAATCTTTCTGGGGCCATACCTCAATAGCTCCTATTCCTTTTTTCTGTCCCCTAACTTGTCAACACATTCGCTCCTGCCAGCTTTGAAGACAAATTAGCAGCAAATTCAATATTACAGCATTTCAGACAGTGAACTTTGGTCAATATCTGAAAAGAAACTAGGAAAGGTGATGGAATTTTCTCATCTAGACAGGTCATCTCTGTATAGTGTGGTGTGACCTGAAGTTAGAGAAGTGGACTGAATGCCTTCTCACACCTGCTTCCAGTCTTAGGTCCTGTGATAAACTCTTGGATTTTAGTGAGCAAGGGTAGCTTATTCTAGAGACACTTGTATTCTTGCATGTGCTCATGCTATTGTACAATAGCAATGGAGTATTTGAGAGAGGAAAGGAAGGCAGGGAAAGAAAGAAGAGATAAATAAGGAACAGGGAAGGATGTGAAGAAGTGAAAAAGAAAGCAAGAGTAAAAACAGAAACATAATTGCACCATCTAAAAGAAATAATTCTTCCTCTCTGACTACCAGTGCCATACAGGAGACCTGCAGTCCTCTGATGCAGTTTAATTTTTGCCTGAGCCTACTTATGTGAGCCCTGTGGAGATGTCAGGATCTGCTACTCAGCATACGTGGCACACTAAAAGATATTTGGCGTGAAGACGATGAATTTTCAAACTAGTTCAAGAGTAATTGAAAATGGAATTCTGAGAAAAGCTAACGTGTATCCTTATCTCCACATAAACACATCAATACTCATATAAGCCTGCCAGCTATCTATCTGCTAGGAAACACTCAATACCGCTTCTTGTACACTGAGCAGATCATTGAGTTTTCTCTCAAAAACTAATAGTACAATCATTTGCAACAAGGAATTCTTCTTTGTCTGATGAAATACTATCCTCCCTGAGCTGCTGCCTTATATTTCAGGAGATATGGGAGCTCAGTCTGTGAATTGCATACCCCAGGAAGAGCTCAGACTTGGGAC